TATTTGAGTTTTAAGTTCGTAAATCTTTTACACCTGATGATGGTTTTATAAAAACTGAAACATGTTGTGTAAAGGATGTTCCAAAATGTAAATCGATCAATCGATATGGAACATCAATGATATTTTATTATCTTAATTATAAGAAATTTTAAATATTGTGATAAGACGGATTAAAATAAATAATTGTAAGTAAAAGAAATGATGAAAGAGGTTTCAGTGTTCATGTAATTAGTAACAGAGGTGAAAAAAGAAACTTTTAATGAGCACATGTTTAGGAGAAGTGATGGAAGCAAGTTTTGTCAACCACTTGGTTGATGAAAGAAGTTTCAGTTGCCAAATGGTTAGGAAGAAGGTGCTGGAAAAAGTTCTTTTTTGCACTCACGTGGTTTGGGAAGATATTATTTTATTTCTTCTTTCTCTGTTCTCTGCATCCTTTACACAGGAAAGAAAGGAGTTGATGGAAGAGAAGCTGAATAGTAGGCAGAAGATGAAGACAGGAGGAACGAGAGGTCATTGAAAAGGAAGTTTACAAAATACTGTAAAAGAAAGGTGAAGGAAATGTATTAGTGATTGCATGCGTTAGAAAAAGTGGTGATGAAGAAGTTCTGCAAGCAGACAGTTAGGAAATGAGGTGATGAGATGAGATTTCTTTATTTATTATGAATTTTATTCATATTGTCAATGAGGAGATAGTATATACTACATATCCAGAGCTCCTAGATTTAAAGATATGGAGTATCTCATTTAGGATGGGGGGAGGGCAAGATATGTAAGTCTCTGATAACAGAACCTATTGAAACCTAACGTCATCTTATACACCCTACCTGTACCCCTCCAATCCTGTTCACATCCCAATACCAATTTCCCAATATCTAACAATCCACCCTCGTTCAAAGCATGTAGGATCCTCTACTCTTCATTTCTCTCAGGTATTGAGGCGAGATAAAAGTAAGTTAACTTTTATTTGGAGAATTTATAAAATGCAACCAAGCTGATATAATCATGGGGACAACAAATGAATAACAGGACAATAGGCATATCGCGTGTTCGGCAACCATTATTTATTCACCAAGTCACTTAATCCTACTGAATAACATACCTTATGTGAAAATGAAGACGGAAGATATTTTACACATGACTGATTTTAATATTTTATGTAGTGGTCCAAATAACATGAATTTGCATGTTATGTCCTTCCTGTGATTACTTCTGTACATTTAATTATATTTCAATACCTCAGTGAGTTCCACCCTGCCTGCTGATTGTTTAAAATCACTATCATGTAAAGAGTGATAAAAATAGGTTAAACAAAATGTAAACAGATATATTTATCTCCTCCTTTACCACTACATATTCCTTATATTGATTACAGTAATAGCAAATACTGCAGCTTTTTTAATGCAGTGTAAGCCTTCCAGTTTCTACCCTCCCTTATCAAACAAAAAGCGATGCGGTGACTTATTGTACTCTACTATATTAACAGGATATCATCATTAGAGTACTTTCATGTTATATACATAAATACTATTTAGTAGAACTAGCTAAAACCATAATTTTAAATAAGTAATAAATGTTAGATGATACACCTAACAAATTATTTACAGTTATGTAAGCACAGAAAGTGGAAGAGACTAGAGAAGGAACGCAAACATGCATTTCACATCAACGTTAAAACACAGGTTAGGGTAATTTTCTACTTTCATAACAACAGATGCAATAAAGACAGTCAGAGCACAACATAGGAAGAGCATATTAGTACATGCAGTTAGAAACATCTGCCCTTATTAGAGGAAATAACATACAATAAATAAATGTTAACACCAGTTAAGAAAATAAGTGTTAATTTTAACATGCACACTTTTTAATTTTAACTAAGCTGCTGCAGTATGTGGCAAGGAACAAATCATAAATGTACTTTTTCAATGATTTCAACAAAAATTAAATAGTGGTACATTATAGGTGATTTATGCCAGAAATGCAGATATTAAACACAGCTTATCAAATAGCATATCAAACTATACAAATGGAATCCCTCACAGAACTGTGGTACAGTACCACAACAACAACAACAACAACAACAACAATAATGTGTGTATCAATAATTAAATACTTGTCACATCAAATCAATCTCACAACATAAAAGTTAACAAGAAGCTCAAACAATGTATCGTGTATCCAACATAATTTGCGCCTCTTCTGCACAATCAAAACAAGAAAGAGCAAACAAAAGGTTTTCAAGACATTAAAGGGACTAGATATCAATAACGCAAATTTTTTTGGTGTTAACGTATGCTATATGAAAGCTGGGGCATATATGAACATCAGTGTCATTCTGAAATCAGATAACAATTTTGATGAAAGACTCCCAGGTCACAAGCTGCGTCGGGTGGCTGAACGGTGAATAAACCGTATCTTCTGCCAACGTTTCGAGAACAATCTCTGCTCTCATCCTCAGGGCTGTTTGGAAACCAGTTGATACTTTGTTACATGCTTGCTGCTGGGAACTCAGCGAGCGCGTAACAAAGGATCGACTGGTTACCAAGCAGCCCTGAGGATGAGAACAGAGATTGTTCTCGAAACGTTGGCAGAAGATATGGTTTATTTGCTATACAGCCACCCGACCCAGCTCGTAACCCAGGAGTCTTCTTTCATCAACTTCAGTTGCCGCAAAATCTTTACTTTATACATGAGATAACCATTTTATTACAATTTACATAACCTATATTTCCCTGTGTCTACCTTATTATTTGAAGGAAATGAACTTCATAAATAACATAAATGAGCATGTATGGTGCATGTAAGAACCTGAGAAAATTAACATAAGTTGTCTGTCAACAATTAATTATGTACAAAAGAGAAGAAAGAGAGGAAATTGTCTATAAACAATCTTAAAACAAAAATCTTCCAATCTTCCCATGCAACTTCCTTACACTGTACCTTGTTTATAAGTTTATAAGTCTTTAAAGCAAATATTTATGTTTTATTGGAATGTGCTGTTTAAAATTACTCTCTTTCAAAGGGCATGGTTCATACACTGTAAAATGTACAGATGGGCTCCTACATTATTTATTAACTGACATTGTATCAACTACTGATTATGTAGTGTCAGGTGAGAGACTGTTAAATGGTCAGGAGTGTAAAGTTAAAAGGGATGATGAGGAAGGAGACAGTCATTGCACATTTGTAGGTGCCATTATGACTTCACTATACTGGAAAGCAATATCCTTGCTGAGAATATGAACCGGCAGTTTACGCCGACTTCCTTCCGATGCTCGGTTTCTATGCACAGATGTCACTACGCATTTTAAAGAAATTCTCACTTTCAAAGTCTTTTATAAGTTCTGTCAGCTGTCAGGACCACATCTATGTGTGGAAATCAGTATATGAAATAAAAGGTTCTATGTACCACACAATTGCTCAGATAGTATTATTTTCTTTCATTCATAAGCAAGAGAGTGAATTTTAATTAACTTTAACTACAGACACATCTGCTTCAAAACTTTATGAATCAGCACAGAGCCAGCATCTTTAAAAATTCCCAACTGTATAATACAATTGTTTACAACATATCACAAATACTGGAACAACAAGATCAATAATGAACTAAGTATTAGTGTTTGTATAAAAGTAGGGAACAGTAAAAAGTGCAGAAAAGGATAATGAGTATTAAATATTGGTTTCTACCCTCCATTATTCTGGATAATCAAGAATTAAGTAAGCTTATAAATTCCACTAAATGATCAATAAATATGGTACTAATTTGCTTCTGGATTATATATGTGTATACATACATAAATATTGATTCTTGTGCGTGTGCATGGATGCATGAATGTAGACAGACACACACAAAGATTGACAACACTTGTTCCAGTATAGAATTTAATTTTCTCTTAAAACTTCATCACATTGCAGTAACTGTCTCAGAAATGTATATTTTAAATAACTGTACTTTTGCGCTCTTAAACGACTTACTGCCCTACATTAATTTTAACTTTGGAAAGTTGTGTTATATCTCCAAATACTTCATCTTCTTCGCTAGCATCAGATTTATTTGCAAGTTCCGAATCATCTGTGTTTACAGACATATTTTTACTTGCAACAAACTTTAGTGAAGCAAGAACCTCACCCATTAATAATCTTTGTTTCCTCACTACATCAAAATTATTATTTTCATTGTCTACTTTAAATTTTTCTGTCCCATTAACTAGTGGTTTCTTTGGATGTTGTTTCTGGTTTGGATGTGCATCATCATTCTCAGCTTTCATCTCATTACCTTCACTTGCTAAAGAGGCTAAGTTTGGATGACTCGATAGTCTTGGTAGAACTGATGGGTCACCTCGACTGGCAAAAAACATTTCAAGTTTTCCTTTTATAGTAGCACGTTCAATTTCTCTATCTGTCAGATGTTCGTCTGATTGACTTTCTGTGACTTCATTCTTTTCTGCTGAATCATTCTTGTTTTCTATTTCTCCACTCTGTTCTTTATTTGAATTCATAGTGATTACTGTCAAATTATGTTTTGGCTTCTCTGTGTTGGCACTGCTCTTACTATTTGTGAAATTCTTTGTAAATAATCGTGGCTTTTTATGCGTTGCATCGTGTTTCACAACATCAAGTTTCTCCTGCAACACAGCTTCCAGTTTGTTGACAAAATCTGAAGTTTTCAAACTTCCCATTCTGAGATTAAATGTGAGATCCGGAGTGACTGGTGAGGTTGGTTCAGTCTTGCTCTTAGCACTGCCACTTCTGATGCTATTTGAGTTACCTCCAAGTGACACTGTCTCAGAGAAAATGTTGGAAGCAGTTATTGGTCGAGAAGGGAGTGAGGATGGGAGAGGAGGAGGAGGAGGAGGAGGAGGAGAAGAAGAAGAAGAAGAAGAGGAAGGAGAAGAAGGAGTAGAAGAAGAAGAAGTGGTTTAATTCGGAATCTTCAGTACTTGTACTTTGTTTGTTGTATTCTTGAATCTTAGAAACAGATTCCCCCTGGAGAAAAGGCTGAAAAGACTCAGGATCATCATCACAATCACCAAATCCTGCAACTATGACTTCGCCTTGTTCCATAACTTCATCATCTGAATCACATGACAAAACTATCACATTTGGATATAAATTTCTTGCACTTCTGTCGCTAAGTGACCTTCCCACATGGTTTGCATCGATAGCTCTAACATGTTCTGAAGACAGGGAAACATCTGCAGGAGATGACATAACAGAAGCAGACAAATCACACACAACAGAAGCAGCAGCAGCCTCCCTTGCAACAGAGCCGTCACCTGTGTTGGGGAGAGGTGCATTATGAGTAATGGTTGAATTTTTATTCTCGTATTCTGTTCTGTAATCATCACTGCCAGTGGTAGCTATGACTTCCCTACCATAATTCAGTTCGTCATTATCATACAAAAGACTTCCCAAATTATTGATGTTAACCAATGATTTCTGAATATAATCATTGTCTATTTTGGAATCCAACTTTTGATTCAAGACACTATCATGCTGTAATAACATCCCATTCATCATTTTGGGACTGTCTTGACCAATTATGATGCTTTTCTCTGGATGCTTGTAATCAGCTGCATTGGTTGTGGTGTGGGATTCAGAAAGCTGATATTTCCCTTTGTCCATCCTAAGAGTTTGAGGCTCTTCATTAAGTTGGCTGCTGGCAGGTTGAAGTTCTTTCATCATATCGCTGAAGTACTTTGCTTTGCTTTTCTTCACGCCATATAAAAAATAAATAGCAAAACCTTCAAGGAAACCAAAAAAGAGCAAGTTTTTAAATACTGCAGGGCCTCTGCAAGTAAAACAAGCTGTGGAAGTATAAACATACTTAAAAACTTACGTTCAGATAATTCTTTATGCATACGCAATTTTTTTGAATTTAATTACGTTTAAACTAAGTGATGTGAGACTGAAGAACTTTCTAGTTTAAGTCCTGTTTGAAAGGATGAAGACTGGTTTCATATACATGGAAATTATTATTTCTTTAAAGTTCATCTAATTTTGGATTTATAAAATAAACTGCTCAGTATATGCACACTATCTCACAATGGTTTGCATTAGGAAATAATTCTAAAATGAGCTTTGCAATGAGTCAAACCACAGACATCATGTGTTCTTGACAACACTTCATAGTTTAACTCTCTCCAAGGTCTCTTGTACATTTCTGCTTATGCCACATTTTAAAACTTTCCAAAGTAACTCATGCACATGTTAGAAAAAGATATAGTAATATGTGGACTTGGCCCCTGGTCCTTAAAGCACACATAATGCAGGTAATATGTAACTTACCTCTTCCTAATCATTTACTACACATGCAAAGAGATAAAGCAGTGTCTATCAAGAGGAATAATTTATTCATAACATTTTATTAAAATAAATTTTGATGTCATACAAAAGATATGCCCATGAAACTGACTAAAGCAGTGCCAGACTTCCTCTGCCAAGACCATCAATATGGTCCATGTCCAGCAACCTGCAGCATCTCTTACATTAATGACCTCACTCTCGAGTGCTGTGACCTGCTTCTGTTAAAAAGGGCTCTAATGGTTGAGTCATGGTGGTGAAATATTTTAACCGGTATGGCAGAAATTTTAATATAAAATCTAAGACAAGTTATGGTTTAGATTATTAAATAAGTTTCATGTCCTGGCAGCTATAAACAAGCAGTTTGGTTCTACCAATAAAAAAACTCTTGAGTCATTCATTCAACCAAAGTGACAGCATTTGAGCTTCGCACGTGTTACATTTAGTTATTGTACCTTTGCCAGGAAGTGACTTTCTGATAACAGGGCCATCTTTACATCTTAATAGTGCACTTGTAACTACTTAAAAGGATTCATAAATTTACAAATACACGTTTTACTAGTAATTTAATTGTTTTAAAAATGTACTGAGCTACTGCATCTTGTTTTGAAGATGACATGAGAAAGGAGGTATTAAAAAATTCTGAAGAGCATTTAGAAACATTTACCTACGAATAAAAAGCTACTGATGATACGCATAGTACTTTTGAAACAATATGCTAAGGTTATAGTTGTTTATGTATATAATAATGTTTATTGCTTGGTCTCCTGGCATGAAACACAAATACACAAACTAAGTGCATTAATGTAACTCTACCCATTTTGCTCATTCCTGCAGTTAAAGCTATTTCTTATCCAAAATTATATCTGACATAATTTTTTCTCCACACCCTGCAGTTTCATCATTCAACTAAATAGCCAAGTATGTAGGCAAGAAGCAATTAATATGCACAAGAGAGATGCTTATTATTATTATTTAGTGTTCTGTCTGACGACAGGTCCATATGAACAGGATCCTTCCATCCTTTTCTCGGACTGGGACCTGTTCATATACGTTCTTGGCAGATGATCCAGAAGTGGTTTACCATTGCCTTCTTCTGAGTGTGAATGGAGTAATTGTTGGGATGCAACGGAGGAAAACTCCGTGTTGCCTAAACCACGGCCTTGCCCAACACAAGTTATAAATTCGGGCACCACCGGGAATCGAACCCGAGACCCCAGGATTACAAGGCCAGCGTTCTAACCGCTAGACCACCGTGCTCTTAATTACTGTTGTGCACTATTTACAAACAAGAATAATTCAGAACAGCCACTCAATGGACTTCTTTACTGTGATTCCGAACAATTCACAGCATTATAATGAACACATACCTGGCTGGTAAATGTAACTTCTTCAACCTTTATCAAACAGGGGATTCAAACCCCTATATTATGGGGTTGCTAGCAAGACTTAACTCAGAGGTTAATTGCTCAGTGGTACACCGGTGCAATGCATAACAAGTTGGAAATCCATGTAAACAGTAATCAACACCCATTCACACAACAAAAAATGTGTGCTCGTACCACAAATCATAATAATAATCATCATCGAGAGACAGGTTGCTTTGTACGTAAATGGATCATATCGACAGTTAAAGAAGGTTAGTTAGGATGTTGCATATAATACTAAGAGGTTGTCACTGTCTTATTATTATCCTGAATGTGCATATCTTAAATAAGAAGAAGCAGAACTCACCAATCGCCATCCAGACTCCAAACCTGATCCACGTGTCTGCATCCAGTTTCAGCATTAGATAAATGTTTATCAGAATACTCACTGCTGGGATCACAGGTACAAATGGTACCTATTGAAAGACAATAGCTGGTTACAGTTTGTTCCTAAATGAAATGTACATGAGATTAAGAAGACAGATAATATAATACGTTTCAGATTATTTGATACTGTGTATGTGAGTCTCATTTCCCTGCAAAAGAACTTGGGGTCTTTAATATCTAAGATGTCACCAATTAAAGTTAAGGCATCACACCGATTCACATCTAATGTGGCACTGTCTAAAATGATTAATATTCAAATAACCATATAATCAGGATTCAAATTTTTAGCCCATAGCCCAGCTATCCTGACTGGATTTTTATGTAATTTTCCTCTGTCCTTGCATGGAAATTACATGAAAGGGCATTAAATTAGACCACAACCACTTCCTTCCACAGCCTTACTTCCAATTCCTTAATCAATGGCATCATCTTCTCTGATGATATGTAGTTTAGTTACTGAAACTGTCTTAAGTAAAATATGATTAAATAAATTAAATACACAACAGTATGCAATACAGGAAAACAAACATAAGAATATCAAACAATTTTTCTTCTTTAAACATTTGTAACTTTTACTTACATTATGTTCATAATTCCTATAAGCAAAATAATACCAACTTTCATTAGCTAAGTACAAAATTAAAGTTTGGTAATCCTTTCCTTTATTGGTATTACATATTTTTCATTATTAAAATAAGAAAATAAATTAATGAGTCCTAGGGACCACTGATATATACTGACACACATAAATATTTTGGGTTGTAAATGGTGGTTAATTCATATACAAGTACAATAATTGCATTACTGCAGCTAGCTTTCAAATAACTTGTCAAGTTATTAGTTGTTCAGTGATAAAACAAAAGTTATTCTCATTTGTATGACATACATGCATACAATCCAGTGTGGCTGTGAGGTATGTGATAGAATTTTCATTGGCGAGATTTCAGATTTTCATAGCAGCACTTATGGAACTACTGTCTTCTGGGTTGTCATGCCGTGTACCAGAATACGTGTCCTAACAACCCGGAAGACGTTCAGATTCAGCATTTTTATTATATATGTTACAATAATTGAAAAACTATTTTCAAAATTTGATTCAACATTTGTAGACTTGTATAATTTATACAACCAAGATGGTGGAAAAAAAAATGAAAACAAATTTTCAGTAATACAGGAAGTTCTTTTGAATTTACTGCAATGAAACGATCTTCTTTTGAGAGCAAGCGCATCCTCTCAGAAAGCGACTGGCCCTTTGTAGGTCTAACTTTTGGTTCCACGCTCATTGTTTGCATCAAATATTGCAGACTAGGAAACCATGATTGTGTTGCTAGGAAGAAACTGAACAGTGCGTGGCTTTTGCTGTACAGAGTCCTAATGTTTATTTGTCTCTTCTAAGTAAAGTCTGTCCCACTATACGCCATGTAGGTGCTTGGGGTGAGTGGAGGTATAGCTCCTCTCTTCCTTGACCTCGGCACTAGATGGGGGTGAGTGGTCAGCATCACGCCCCGGCCGGCTTTACCCCCGGGAAAGGACCCCGGTACCCATTGTAGAGGAGGCTGGGTGGGCCCCAGAGCCGGTCTGGACGCAGAGGCTAGAGGAAAAATCCTCTGCCCCCGTCGGGGATCGAACCCCGGTCGTCCAGCCCGTAGCTAGTCACTATACTGACTGAGCTATCCCGGCTCATATTTGTCTCTTCTGAGGGACATATTTTGTTTCTAGTGTGATGAACAACAATGCTGCCTCCTGCGTAATTATCTTACCTTGAAGGAGAGAGGAACTGAAGATGTGGGCTGCAAACTGACTGACAGTAGGATGAGAACCAAAATGGCAGCTATAAATGTTGTCACAGATAATGCCCATGGATTAAGATCTGCCAAGTCACTTTCCCAGAATATGACACACAGTCCCAATAATGTAGACAGCACACCTGCATGAATAAAATAACCTTGCATTACCATTTCCATCTTGAAACTTTTTACATCAAAGACATACGGAGTAATTAAAACACAAAATGCTGATAGCGGGGATTTTATGTCAGAACTGGTTGCTTACAGAGCAGTCTTATAATTTTTATTTTATCATTTAAGTATTATAATCTACTGACAGAACCCGTACTTGGGTGGATAAGTTGAAATAATTGCACGATTTAATTGTCCAGTGACAGAGACTAGCTCTATCTAAGGGACCCAACAGAGTAGGTACCTCTCACCTGAAGATGGAGACAGAACCAGCCTCTGAAACGTCGTAGTTTTAAAGAACAGATGATGGAAAAAGTCCTGACAATGAATAATTTTAAGTGTAAACTACCGTCGTCAAAACCCTTTAGAATTGAATATTCTTTTTAATTTTTTTTAAGACTTCCAACTTTCTGAATATTTAACATGGAAATTAAATGCAGCGACATACGTTATGACAGAATACAGCCCCTTCACATGTCACAGGGATTTTACATCAGCATAACGTACCAAATGCCAGCACCTCTGCAGCAACAACTCTCGATGACAGGGATGTTGGATGTTTTATTCTGAATGGATTGAACATTTGTTTTGAGACTGTTTTAAATGATACAGGCTCCTTAAGAGTCACCAAATTTGTTGATTCAATGTACTCTGAACTTATAATATCACTTCCTCCATAGACATCAAAGTCTTCATACCTGAAAGAAATATAATTAATAAGAGGATAATGTTCTTGATCACACAAATGCACTGCACATAAGGTTTTTCTTCCTGGGTTGTTGCACCATTAGTCTCGTAGAAGTATATTGACGTTTCAGAGGTCCTTGCTGCCTCCATCATCAGAGTAATAAGACATGATTATGAAGGCAGCAAGGACCTCTGAAACGTCAATATACTTATACGAGACCAATGGTGCAACAACCCAGAAGACAGCCATCTTCAGACTTACCGCCATAAAAACCTCAAATCCTACGTATTGCACAGTCTTAACATGTATAAAGAAATGTATGTAGAAAGCAAATCACACTTCATGCATTCTGAACTAACAGCATTATAAAAATATCTGAAAAAAGTCTAAAATGCATAGTAAGATAGAGCAAGATTTTGGTGTCTGTCCATATTGTGACTTTTTATTTGTGATGCATATTACAGTGCTAGATCCAACTATACGCCATGTAGGCACTTAGGGGGAGAGGTGATATAGCTCCTACTAATTCTTGACCTTGGCACTAGATGAGGGTGAGTGGTCACGCTTTACCTCCAGAAAAGAACCCCAGTACCCATTGAATAGGAGGCTGGGTGGGTCCCTGAACCGGTCTGGATGCAGAGGGTACATAAGATACATTGATTAGATCTATTTGATCTGTAGACATCTCAATTTTCCACTTCACAAATTCAAATTATTCAGCACAGTTTAAATTTAACAAACTGTTATACCCCACAACAGATTTTCTAACTTTTCAAGTCTGTAGTGTTACAGTGTTAGCTTTTCTGAATCAAATTTGACCTCAAGCACAAAGTACACCAATGCTATTATTCCCAAACAAACTCTGAGAGAAAATCTTCATTTCACTACAAATCTTACATGAAAAATTCTGCACTTAATTTGTATTGCACCATTTGTGTTCTCACATGAAAGAACTTTTGGTTCAAAAAGTTTATATCCCTTTCTTACTTTACAGGTTAAGATGGGTTTATAGCAGCAGCATCAGGGGGTCCATGTGTTTTATATAGACAGTTAACAACAAAGCACTTCAGTCTACGTAATTAATTGTATTAATCACCTTAATGACTCTGAAACATCATCAATTACTTAATGAAAAACCAAAATATGTTCTCATATTTCCCTTTGGAAGGGAACAGAAAATAGTAGCAATATAAACGACTCTACAATGTGAACTAACAACAAATATAACAAAGGCATCAACACCCGCATGATTTTCTTTCAGTTTAGAAATCACTGCCTGTAAGAAATGCATCAGAATTAAATTTCATTTCATATTTTACTTTCTAGAGAAGTCATTATGTCAGAATTGAAAACGCCGACGTACCGACAAACTCCGTAAGCACAAAGAGACGAATGAGAGCAAAGGAAGAAAGACTTAACACCAGAGAAGTTCTCACTTAAAAACTGCATTTCACATGCACAAAACGATCGCTGGTATAGTAATAAGATCAGAAAGTTGAGTGAGTGATGAAGTTAAACAGCTTCACACAGCTATATTAGTTCATTTCCAGCCACCTGCATTCTTCACCACAAGCGGAAGTAAGAAATGATAACAACAACAGTTACATCCTTACACAGTCTCCTCTCCTTCATTACTGTTCACATCAGATGGAAGCAATGCATAACCTTCAGTCTCCTCATGGACATCAGCTTCGTACCTAAGTTAGAATTGACACACTCAAAGAAACTGGATTCAAACACAGAATAGGGTAACTGCGTACCTCCACCACAGATAGTGTTCCAACACCTCTGCCTCCTTTACTGACTACTCAACTATTAAAATAAAATAAGTGGAATAAACTACAATCTTATCAATGAAATGCTATTTAAATTTAAATTCAAAGGAAGACAAAGCAGTCGGTTCTTTGACATATTAAACTGTACAGTATCAGATACTGGCACAAATACTATATCAACTGGAATCTATCTATACTTAAAAAAGTCCGTGGCGTAACAGCTCCAGAGAGCCAAAGCCGACTAGCTTGACTGCTGGCCTCACGTTCACATGCCTAAGCAGAGGTGAACGATCATCCAACCAGATATAGGGTGACGTGTGGTCAGCACGACGAACCCCCAAACATTGCTAGCTTTCCTGACCGGATTACGCTAATCATTGTAGCTCCCCAATTTCCTCACGATGCTGGGTTGGCACCGGTCCCATATACTGGTCGAAAGCTCATGAGAAAATTTCTTCTCCCCCGAGACTCGAACCAGCGAGCATTCCGTATCGCCGGTCCGAAGCAAGATGCCTCAGACCGCGCGGGACATCCATCTATACTTATAACTACTAAATAAATGTGGCAGAGGCCTTCTTGAGAAGCTGACAGTCCCTCAGCTACTCAATAAATCCGCCCCACACACCCCTTAAGGAACCTCACAGTTCCCGACTGTGTTTACAAGGCAATGATACAAATTCCTGTCCTCAGCCAGAAGAATCTACACTCTCATGATAATTTGCTCAAATTAACGTAATACGCATCAGTAACGCGCAGAATTTATCCCACACTATTTAACATATTACCAATAACAAAACTTTGACAAACCCTTACCACTACACCGAGCAACTTACCGAAGAAGCAGAACACATGCAGCTACAATGGTATATGCAAGAAGAGTTCCAATTGACATCATACTCACAAGCTGATCGAGATCAAAAATTGCTGCCATTAAGCCTACAGAAAAAAAACACTTTGATAATTCAGTAAATTCTAACGCTTGAATAACGCATACTTCAATATTACTGTTTCATCATTCCGTTCATTGTGTTGCCAGAACAGCGAACACGATATCAGGGAATTTACAACACCAACATGAGCTAATGGATTTGAGAACCACGTGCTTGAAAAAATCCGTCCGCATTCTACTGGAGTACCACTTTATTTGACAAAATCCAATCAGAGAAAATGTATTCCTCATCGCTACGTAACTGACTCCATCGAGAAGAGTTCTTCTTAAATAGGTAACAGTCAATAAGCCTGTCAGAAATTTGATACTTTTCATGAAGCTTAAATTTCAGTGTTCACAAGAACCAGTCACTGGAACTGACGCATACGTCAATTTAGTCAATGCCTTGCTCCTTTAGCATTTATAATACATGAACAGGGGATTGAAATCTACTCTCATACTACGAGACTGTCAGCAAGACTAATTATGGAATTAATGGTTTCACGGTACGCCACAACGAAGCACAGCCAGCTGGATCACGCGGAAGTCGGCCAGTAAAGGTTAAATGATGCTACTTATGACTACGACAAACCTGTTAATAGACCAGCTATTAGAGTGCCATAAAATGGAGTCTTGAAGTGGTGGTGAACTTGCCCTAGGAATCTGAATATTAGTCCATCCATAGCCATCGCATAAATGATTCGAGGCAGAGGAAACATTGCTCCAAACAGACTGCAACAGAAAAGTGTAGTCACGTTGAGAAAAACAGAACCATCAGCTGTATATTTTAGTACAATAACCTACAATGAATACCACGGTGGTCTAGCGGTTAGAACATTGGCCTTGTAATCCTGGGGTTTCGGGTTCGATTCCCGGCGGTGACAGAATTTATAACTTGTGTTGGGCAAGGCCGTGGTCTAGGCAACACGGAGTTTTCCTCCGGGGGCTTCCCCGGTTTCTCCGTGGCATCCCAACAATTACTCCATTCACACACAGAAGAAGGCAATGGCAAACCACTTCTGAATCATCTGGCAAGAACGTATATGAACAGGTCCCAATCCGAGAAAAGGATGGAAGGATCCTGCTCATATGGACCTGTCCTCAGACAGAACACTAAATAA